TAATATCTTAATACAGGCCATACTTAAAGAGGGTTTCCCAACACGTTCAAAGTTAGGGGTGTTATCTCAAAATGACCAAATTTAAGGGGGTGTTTGTGAAATTCATGCTATAATAAATAGATAGCCAGTATCATAGAAATTAACCTACCAAGTTGGATGGCAAGTGCTGAGATCTGTTACCACTGTGGTGAACACAATCTTGTCAAGAAGACCTTTTGCCTTCAGAATTCGTAGAGGAACATGCTGCATCAGAGGATGCACACTAATAATAATGTCCGGCTGGTATTTCATCAGTCCACTAGCTACCTCTCTGTACACATTAAACAAAGTTCCATGTTATAGCCAATGACCTCTTGATTCAGAGGTACAGGCTTCTTACGGTCCTGCTGATTATATGGATATCAGTATGCATAAAAAATTGAGTGCCATCTAAAAGACAACAGTGATACAAAATTGAACACAAAACGACCCTTACTTGAAACTGAGAAGACACTAAAGCATTGAGTTTTTCCAAGCAAGATAAACCAGTGTAAGCGTTGCTAGATACAGATTTGCTTTAATTAGTTTCTAAGTTTGAGCCTTGTTGAATTTCAAGTCAAAGGAAGTTCTATCATTTAGAACATTTTTTTTTTCTTCTTGTTAGCTAAAACTCTTTTCCTTTTTAAGCTCGCCCTCCTTCAAATGAATGCAGGACAGATTCTATTTGAGTTAGTTTGAAAAATACTTGCTGGAGTTCTGTTCATATTCAAATTAGGTTTATCAAATTTTTTTATCAATTATCATACTTAGAATAGTTGGTATGTCATTTGTGAACCTATTGATAAAGGAAAATGTTTTTAATATATTTAAGCTTCTCTTAAAAATGTATCAAGCATTAGTTTCTTAAGAGTCGAGCGACCTTTTAACATAAAAAGATAATCTTCTTTGTAAAAGAAAATTGACAGCTGATTTGAGGAGTGATAAAGAATAGTGATGTGATTGTTGCATGTGAAACGATGAAGCTTTATATCGTTTGACGTTGATGTGAACATATAGAAGCCAGTGATTTCATTTCTTTGTTGTTAAGATCATGTTTGCAACTTTGGATTATAATCCACTTGGCTTACAATCCACAAATGGATTATAAGCCAAGTGGTTTATAAGCCAAAGTGTTTGGTAAATTTAGTAGAGTATGATCCACTTAGTTGATTAAAATGACCAAAAAACATTTAATGGGATTGGAGAGAGAGAAATGGCGCTTGGAATTTCCTAAAATGATGAGGGTATATTGGTCCTTTACTTGGTTAAACCTTGTGGGTTATAAGCCACCAAAAAATAAGCTAGGTACCCCAGCTTATTTTTTAACGTCTTATACGTCATAATATGCCACTTGCCAAACATGTCGAAGTGACCTACAAACCACAAAAGTGGCTCATAAGACACTTTGACCACTTGCCAAACATGCTCTAAGTCTAAAGAAACCGTAGCCCTCGAAGTTCTGTAAAATCCTAACTCCCATCATAAATGCGCACTTTTACAAAGTAGTTTACTAACCGACTAGAACTAGTATGCATATTATTAAGATCAAGATTGTTATCGCACTTTTACAAAGTAGTTTACTAACCGACTAGAACTAGTATGCATATTATTAAGATCAAGATTGTTATCTTTATACACCTAATTAGCTTCAAGTTCATGCTCACAGCCTCTAAAATTTTCGCAAAGAACTGAAAGTTCAACTTGGAAATTCTAAGATGTTACTACAATTACGAATGGTGCTCCAGATTGAATAGAAAAACACTCCTTTCATGTCCAAATATATACTTACCGAGCTATAAAAGCAGATGTTGCTGCAAAATGTGGCTGATGCACTAATCTTGGAGCACTTCCATAGTATGTCATTTTCCACAATGCTCCATGTTTTACCAAGAAGTTATAACTCCTTGGCAATTGATTAAATGGCCAGGGAGTATGATCAGTCCATAGATCAGTTACAAAGACCTATTGAAAAGGGAAAAAAATCACATCCTATCAATATTGACAAAAAAAATTAATAGTACAGTGCTTGAATCACATAATACTTTATCCAAGCATTAAATAGACCTATGCCAAAATGCCAGAACCAGGATGACAATGACAAACATTAAAAGGGAAAATCATTAAAAAGGACAACAAAGAGCTAACTAAATGATCAAATCAACTACACCAGATAGATATACTGTGGCAGGAGCTTTTTATCAACATGATTTTTTTACAGATAACTTCAACAACAGAAAAGGACACCTTGAAAACCAATGATATCAACTTACATGAAAGGCCTATAACAATAAATGCAGCAGAACTAACAATAATTTTAAATTAGCGATTAAGAAACTTTATGCATGAAAAATAACATAATGAAAATGTAGCATATCTTCTATGCAAAACATTATACCTCAACTAACATTAGTACTAGAAAATCATGAAACCAATAAAGAACACTTTAACAGTGCATCAAAAATCCGACAGCACATTATAAAGAAACTAGCATTAAAGATGAGAAAGGCAGCAGAAAATAGAAAATAATGTGGAAACATCAAATCAATTGACAACAGTACATACATCGTTACCGGTATTGATACCAAACATTTGACAATACAATAACAGCATAAAAACATACTGCACAATTGTACCAAATCATATACGGGGGAGAAGTCACAAGACTTGGAATGCATTAACATCAGAAGCCACTTGAAATAGCATCTAAGAGCATTCTATCAATCTATACTAAATAGCACATTACTTGAGGGAAGGGCACACAGCATATTAATTACAACAACACCAAAAGCTTCATCCCAAACTTTTTAGGGTTGGCTACACGAATCCTACTCTTCCACTCAGTTGTACAAAGCTCTCTCCTCCACCAAGTTAATCACTGTCATTGCCTTCTTAACAACTTCTGACCAACATCTCTTAGTCCTCCTTTCTCTGTTACTCATGATTCATAACTTCTACTAATTTGTGCACACAGATTATCCCTTAAGCCAACAAAAATGACAGCTTCGGTACATAAACATCAATCATAAATCCTATACAAACATTCCATGCGTTGTCAAAGTTAAAATTCCTCATATTTACGACAAACAACATTACACAGTTCACCAACGCAACATATATTAATTAGACTCTCCTAATATATAAGCATCCAGCATTATTGGCAACAACACGAAAAGAAGTAGTTTCTTGAAAGAAAGAATGAAGAGTCATTTAATCTTGAAGCCACATCGAACTTTTATAAACATTAGCATTGAAAAACACACACTGACAAAATTAACCTTTACCAAGATTACACCTTTAATTAATTAGCAAAAAATTAACTTAAAAACACTATAAAGGGTGTGAAATTAACCTGATACTCATCCCCAAACTCCTGATTAAAAGCGGCCTTAATCGCCTCAGCCGAAGCCCGATGCCCACCACCAGTATCGCTCATCAAGATCAAAACTTTCTTCGCCCTCTCACTCCCCAGCCCATTAACAATCCCCCCATCATCCTCAACAACGCCATTCGGCCCGTCCTCTCCAGTACGGGTCTCCTCGCCCGGAACCCGAACAGAAGCAAACCCGAAGCCGATTGGGGATCTCTCACAATGGGTTCTAATGAACCTATTGAACTCATTGCACAGAGACTGGAGCCTTGAAGATGGGTTGTTCTTGAGGGTGCAGGAGATGGTGGGTGTTCTGGGTTTCTTGTAGAGAGAAGAGGGAGAGCATGAGTTTGGGATGAAGGGGAGGGAGATGAGGTCGAGAATGGTGATGGGTTCTTGGGTGATTGAAGAGGAGGGCATGGCTTCGGGGCATGAGGGTTTTTTATGGGTCTTTAGGGGGAGAAAAGGCAGGTGAGAGATTGATTTGGGTTTTGAGTTGGGTTAAGAGAGAGAGAGAGAGAGAGAGAGAGAGAGAGAGAGAGTTTGCTGAGGGAGAAGAGCCACAAGATTTTTTGAAGAGGGACTTGGAATTGAGGGGGGGGAGGAGATGAGAAGGAAATGCTCTTTGGATGGAGGGATAAAATCTAGGGATGTAGGATTGTCAGCCAGGGGACAGCTATATATATATGTATAAGATATATTTAAAAAACAAACATGTATTGGGTTAATTACATATTATTCCCTCACATCAACCTTAATTGCCCATGAGTGCCCCCATATCTCATTATTTGATTATTAGCCCCTAAAATCTTTAATTTTCTTGCAATATCATCCTTCATGTTAGGAGATGTTAATAATGAGGGTCAATTTTTGTTAAATGTAACGGAAACACATGGGTTTCCTGTTATACCCATATTAACACCATCATTAAAAACCACACCTACCACTTACGGTTTAATCTCGCAACCTAATCACTCTAGAAATCAAACTCTTTCTTCTCCAACGTTAATGTACTTCCCCAAATCCAAGTCTCAGTAGTTTCTAACTCTCAGAGAGTGGGAAAATGGGAATAAGAAACATTTCATTGTTTGAAAGGGTAACATATACTCAGGAGCGCTTGGGTAATTTAAGATGTTTGGTAAATGGTTAACTGAACTAGGGTCTGGGTAGCTTAAGATGTTTGGTAAATGGTTAACTGAACTAGAGTTAGAGGAACTAATAGATACTCTAATAGAAATACTATTTGGTAAGAAATTTGAAGGTTTAAGTGACTAATGAGCAAATACTAAGAATTGAGGGACTACTTGGGAATTAAGGATGATATAATGGGCTAATATGCACTTATTTATTGAAAATGACAAATAATTTCAATTATTAGATTTCTAATAAATAATTTCATTAAATTTAAATGAAAAACATTCTTCATTTTTCCTTTTTAAGGGAAAATTTACACGAATAAACCATAGAATATGAATTCAAATGCTAAAATACCATAGTTTTTTGTTGACCCCTTTTGACACTTTGGTACGCTAGCGACAATTTAATTTTTGTTGACCTCGATGGTCAAATAAACCAAAACTTGGTCGCCAGCGAAAAAAATTGAAATTAGTCCCTCAAATCTTTACTATTTTGATATTATTCCCTAGATCATTAAAACTTAAGGAATAACATCAAAACAGTGAAGATTTGAGGAACAACATCAAAACAATGAAGATTTTGATATTATTCCCTAGAACAACATTAAAACTTAAGGAACAACATCAAAACAGTGAAGATTTGAGGGATAATTTCAAAATTTTCTCAACGGTGATCAATTTTTGGGCCTATTTGACCATCGGGATCAACAAAAAATAACAAACTATCGCCAGAGTAACAGAAAATACTCAAGCGTCAAAAAGGGGTGAACAAAAAAAATACCAATATGACATCTTTAGGTAGTTCAAAAGATTATTAGAATTTATATAAAATACTTTATGCTCAATGCATCCTTGATTAAAAAGCATGTGCCATGAGCGGATCCATATAGATCAAAGTGGTTTCACGTGGCACCACTCTGGTTCAGAATCTCATCCAACTAAATTAGATGCTCTAATTAAAAATACTAGGTAAACTTGGTAACCCTACTAAGGTGCAAACTTTCTATCATAAGCAATTCCTATTTTATATCATAGGTTTCCAATTTTATTTCTATGTTAGATATCTATTAAATTAATTTATTTATAATTATAGTTCCATGGTGACGTCACTTTATAGAAAATCCTCAATCCGCCACTTTATAGGAATTCTAGTATTACATAGTGCACGCCAAAATGTCTCTGTTTGTTCTTTGTCATGGATCTTTGTTGCCATTAGAAATGGACGGTTGTTCCCATGAAGCCAAATATCAAGTTCAACTTGTCCACTGAAACCAACTTTCCCACCATAAAAATGTAGTGGACTCAGATGTCTACTTAGTTAGTGGATATTTTGTGGGCCTAAAATAAGCCAATTAAGAGTACTAGGTAATGTGGCACATGTTATTCATTACACATATTCTCCTTATGAACTGAGGGGGAAAAAAGGTTTTTCTCAAGATTCATAAGTCCAACCACCTTTTGGTATTGTTTCTCCACATGCTTTATTAATAAAGTGCCTCCTCCTAGGTTTGAATCCCCCCGCCCCCCCCCCGCCTCTTTCTTTTTTTTTTCATATCTTTTATTTATTTTTATCAAAATGCTATTTTGTGGCCGGTTGCATACCTTTCAATTGCTGAAGCGTGTTCATGGTACATGCCTATAAACTTTCATAAAGGTAGAGGTTTCACATAAAATCACCTTTAACTTTTATGCAAATTGATACTCATCATTGTTCCTGTTTATTGTTTATCAAAACCATATTTACTTGCCTACATGTTTAAAATGTCTCACCTTATCAACTTTTTAGCTAAAAAAGGTATGAAATTCTCATTTTATCCCCAACCTAAAGCGCGTGTAAAGTACATGTTTCTTAATTAATTATAAACGTAAAGGCTCTTTAGATATTAGTCCTCCAAATCTTTTATATTTTAAAATTAGACCCTTAAATATCA